AGATTTGCAGAAGTCAATCCGCATATACGTACCGGAAGTTGGACGCAAAGAGCGCTATGGCAGGCGTGCCTCCCTGGTGGAAAGAAATGACATTAGAAGGAGGTTGTGAACGGGCACTGAGGAAAGAGAAAAGACTCACCCACGTCTTCTTCAACAACTCCGGAACGAGGTATGTCTCCCCAGCATGATGGAACGATGCTACTGGGAACTCGAACTCGTTCGTAAGCTGCCCATGCCCATACATCAAGTAACCACACACAAATGTAAATTAGAAATTTAATTATTGTAAGAGAAATTGAACGCACACGGACGATTCCATCGAGATCGACGGCTTCGTAGCAGTGCACAGCCAGCTTTACGCGTCCGCGGAGCACATCGACAAGAGATTCCCATTGCAGGTCCTCAGGGAACGTCTTTCCCGCGAGGTCGTCCCAGGAGTCAGACTCTGCTTTGGCGCAGAAGGCGTCTTGAACATCACGCAGCTTTCTAGCGTGGTCATAAGCGGCGCGGAAGTTCCACCCAGAGTCAAGGCGGGTTATGCCATAGGCACTGGAGGGGTTTTCACCTTATGAGCAAGTAAGCGAAAAGTATCAGGACATTCGTCAGAGCATACCGCATGCATGTCTTTGAAAGATTGTTAAAAGTGATTAGAAGACAATTAAGAGGAGAACGAGGAAGTAAAGGCAAAACGACATACTTCATGTGTCGCCAACGGGGGGTGAGAGAGTGATCAAAGTGAGAGCCATTGAGGGTGTAGGGAGGCTCGAGGAGCATGGATGAAGTTGAACGCTCAGCTGTAGGGCGTAGTTTCATGATAAATGCCTGGCCGCCTAGTTTAAGATAAGCATTCAGACGAAGTATAGAGTAAGACAGCACTGACCAATATTATCCGCGCTGCCAGGGAGAATTTGCGCAGTGGTGACACCTCCAGCCATAGCAAGTTCGTACGACACGTCATGGGTGTTCAGGCCATCAATACTGCGCAGCCAGGGCAAAATGGGGGCCTTGTAAGAGTTCGTGTCATCTGCACCTACAGGACATGGGATCCCATGTCTATGGGGAATAGCAAAGAAACTCACCATCTAGCTCGGGCGCACTGCCGACACCAATATGGGAGTGCAAATCCACAATGCCAGGGGTCACCCAAGCACCATGAACATCGACAATCTCCAAGTTCACGTTCTCCAACTCGAGCTGCTGAATCATTGATAGAGGAACATCACCGATGGCTTTTACAAGACCGCGGTGCATGAGCAGGTCGCCAGTGAGGACTTCGTGCCCATCATTAGCGGCTGTCCAGATAGTTGCGTTACGCACGAGAATAGGCTTCGTGTTCTCTGCGTAGCGGTCACTCTGGATACGGGCATGGAAATGGGGCGGAGGCCCGGGTCTGGCATGTGTGTAGGCACATTTGGAAAGGATGTGAGAGCGACGGACGAGCTCGTGTGGGTCGGATTGAGAGAACGTGGAAGACAGGAAGGCTGATGTTGATGAATGGAAAAGGATGAAGCAGATGATAACAATGGTGGACATGACCGGGCGAGCCCAGCGCTGCAAAGGAGGCCGCATCACCAACGGTGAGCTACCCATTATATTGGATGGTGGCTCTGGCAGGCAAGCCGCAAGCTTGACTTCCTGTCCATCGTGATCGACACTATACTATTATGGATTACTCGTCGTTGTCGTGGCCCGTGGGTATAACATGTCGGCAGCACTTCAGCGATAGTAACATTTGTTTAATTCAATCACCTACTTACTCTCTCATCGCTTTGAACTTGCCTTCAAGTGAGGCGAAGTTTGCACTCTTGTATGTCCAGGACTCTCGGGTTTAGTCACTGATCTAGTGAGACTGGTCACTTTCTTCCACCAGCTTGTCTAGCTATGCATCTCATTGTAGTGAAACAGGTGGATCAACTCTTTCATTACCAGATGGCGCAACTAGCAGGGTGTTTGACTGTGTACGTTTCACTTCAAGTTTGAGCGCCCTAGAATTCAATCGTTCAATTGTTGGTTTACAGGTGGCCCCACTTTGTTACGACGCGCACCGACATTTACTAGTACAGCTCCCAACCCTCTAGGCTTTCTCAGCTCTCCTTATGCGTGAGAGACTTATGGGGGTGCAAGCCTGTACATACGAGGACGGTTTGGGAAGTTCCCTGCTTCATACCCCAATGTGAGTCTGCTCTAGCCAGAATTCTTCATATCAGATCCGGGCTGCTACTAGTCCACGAAATTGCATTCATGATACACGATTCAGTTCGAATTTTGACGTTTATCTCATGCCTTCTACCACTATTAACGTCACCCTTTAACAGTGGTGCCGAAATATTCCGCCTTCATGAGATCTGATCGAGTCGAGTTATTCCTGATGCTGACTAGAAGCAAATTGTTACATCAGGATCTAGAAAGAATTTGAAGTTTGTCTGAGCCAGACGCGGATCCGAAATATAGCATGGAACTTGGGACACTTCGTAAACGCCAAGGTGGAAGGTACCCTGAACCTCGGTTCTAACGATATGTCCGCATTCCTGGCAGAATAAAGCCCTCGCGATTTTGGCTAATAGGTCCGTCCGACCATACTCTTCTGTCACCAAATACCCACTCTCGATCTCAACCATGCAACTTTCACTCATTTTCACTACACTCGTTACATTTGCCGCTATTGCTGCATCACATTCAACACCAAAATTGGTCAGAAAGCATACTTGTGAGGATTCATGCTACTCTTGTTAGTGAGAGCGATACTGATGTGCCATGCAGCTTTAGCTAAGCGCCAGGAGCTTTCCTCCAACCTCGTTGGTTATCTTAACACCAGGCTTGAAATGCGTGATACACCTGACACGTCTGATACACCTGACACGCCTGATTCCTCCGACTCCCCCGACTCCGATACCGACTCTGATACCGAATCTGATGATAAGTCCGCCAGCTCTGACACAGCTGATGATGTCAACAATGACGACACTGGGCACAAGGATGTTGGATCTCACCACGTCCACAAGCAAAGCTCCACCCCTCCTGATTCTAAGTCTACCGACTCTGACTCAACCAGCAAAGGCAATGACAAGAGCGCCGTGGCGCACGAGGAGGTTGAATCTTATGTCCACAAGAGAAGTAAGTCATTCCAAGCCTGATGACTCACTCGTGTATAACACCTGTCCACTAGAGGATTTTGTTTACCGTTTGAAGAACGAGAAGCATTACCAGTAGGCAATATATCCAAGAGTGGTAAGGTTTATCTACTTCCATTACTTTCGAGTCTTACCACTTTTCAGCTTTTGAATTGGGGAGGAGTCGCCAGTCGTGGTACAGAGTTGAATGTCATGGTGTTACGGCATCAGCGCGCAGGCTTGCTCAGGTCGGCGTGTTGAAATTAATTCTCAAATACTTATTACATGCACGAGAGTGCAGATGTTGAGAACTCAATCAACGAGTTTAGTGTATCGGATAAGTACCTGTTGACAATGAGGTGTTCACTGTTGGCAGCGGGCATCAAGGTGCCCATGATTGACTAGGTCTGGAGTTGGATTCGGAACATATGAAAATTGTTCATTAACGAAAATCGAACGCTCGACGAACAAGTGAGAATAGACTTAGACCTCCTAAATGCCCGCCTGCACTTAACACTAGGAAAATAAAGATTCTCCGCGAGGTAGAGATCGCTCAGCATCCGAATTACGTCAAGAGCACCTGGAGCGCGTGCCCTATTGGCAAGGGATAGACCTTGGGTAAGCCCGTACATGGAAACTCGAAAGTATCATCGACCAATGCAATTGATTCCGAACGCGGTCACGTGCAGCGCGTCTAGCAGTGTTCACTTTGAGTAGATACCAGAAGCTGAGGATCGTCATTGGTCAATGAGTCGACCCAACAACGCCTTGTTAATGCCTTCCATGCACTAACCTGATGAACCGCATAAGAAATGAGTCTCAGCAGAGACTTTTCATCTCAAAACCACGATCAATCACAGACCCGATCTTCGTTGAGTGCTCTTTTCACCTTTTATTGGTTTCCTCACGTACGTTTTACTCAACCGTTCGATATAATAAGTTCACAGTCATTAAGATTGCTGTCTTTTAAGCACCTTCCGATATTTTAAAAGACCAGCCGCATCAACTTCACGCCATCATGGATATCGAGCTCCTCTTTCCCCCCCCCTTTGTGCGACTGGCAACAAGTACCACATCCAAATCCTCACTGACGGCAGCGGGGAAATCTAACTTGAGCTTTCTATCCATCGTGATCAACACCTTACGTGGGGAACAGTAACATATCGGCAGCACTTCGGTTCTGAATCCTCTTTCTGCAGCGTGCCACAGCAGTATATTCCTTGTTTTTCAAAATAAAGGCGGGTCCGCACAAACACCGCAGTAACGCGCGAGTTTGGCGCGAGTTGCGGTTAATACCGGTCACTGTCTAGGGTTCTTTTCGCGCCAATGTAGACAATGTTTCAGCCACCATTATGTGACCTTGCAGAATAATGTAGGTCACCATTGTTGAGACTGGATACTATCAGGGAGATTGACTGTACGTTCCTTCCAATTTTAGCTCTTGTATTTTTCCTAATTCACCGACAAGGTTTCACTCTTTAGAGGTGATGTGCGCGGGTTCACAAGGGTGTAAGTCGGGACTGTAAGTTCCTTACTTCTGCATCAAATATAACTTACATTTACTCTAGCCAGATGTAGCCGCTACTATGTAGCTTTCATCGGTACTGTGCTCACAAGATGCTATTGGACTTCATTTAGCCCGGAAGTTCAGACCTAGAAGCTCAATGGTTCAGTACGAGAGCCCGAAATTATACACGAGGACACCTTGTGACCGGGGAGCCCTGGTTATCATGGCCTCGGGTGTCCTCTCGGTCTTACGATATGTGTGTGCATGTCAAGTGCTCATGTAATAATCGAAGTTGACCTCGAGTTCTCCCCCAGTAGTCCGAGAGAACGTACAATGAGGTATAAAAGCTCTCGAAATGGCGATCATTCCTCTAACTTCCAACCATGCAGCTCTCACTTGTTTTCACGATACTCGCAACCTTTGCCGCTATTGCTGTGGCACATCCCACACCGGAATTGGGGACGAAACGTACTTGTGAGGACTCGTGTACCACTCTAGTTAGTGAAGTGATACTGATATGTTATGTAGCTTTGGCTCAGTACAAAGAGCTTCCCTCTAACATCATTGGTGCCATTGACACTAGGGGCCCTGATTCGCCTGATTCACCTGATTCACCTGACTCTCCCGACTCCCCTGACTCCCCTGACTCCCCCGACTTACCTGATTCGCCTGACACCCCCGACTCGCCTTCCAAGCGTGAGAAGACCGAACCTCACTATGTCTACGAGAGAGGTAAGTTACTATACGCCTGGTGGATCACTCATGTATAACACCTGTCGCAACAGAGGCTTCCTACCATTCCAACATTGAGAAGCGCTATGACTAAACATGTACCTAAGAGAGGTATTGCTGCCCTTCTCCTTTTCTATTGCTATCATTTCTTACTGTTATTCAGCGTTATGTAAAATAGGGAGGGATGTTAGAACGTTGTCAGTCTCAACTTGTACTACTAGTACTTGATGTAAACCAGAGTTCGCTTTCAGAAACAATGAAAATTCCACGTAGCTACTATATTTCTCGTCAAATCTACTTTGGTACACCAAATCGGTAACTGACAAATGCTATTACTTGGAGCGTTTCCAGTACTACGCATCACTACCTGTTGACACATCGCCACACTCCTGGAAAATAATTGCAGGCACGTCAATGCCACCATCGGAGTCAGCTATGAGCTTAGTGTTGAATTCCCGAATGTTGAGGATGAGGCGCGGTCCCAACAAAATCATCTGTGCTATTGAGAGAAATCCAAGTATTCTATAATAGACCTCCCATTGAAGACTCGGATGAATTCTGTAGATATGATAAGCAGCCGAAGTTGCTGAGGGAAATATCAGCGTACTATGAGCCCGGAGAGAAAAAATCAAGTTGGAAGCAAGAAATAGCAATCAAGGTTACACGTCCAAAACTTCAGTGTAAAAAGACGACCACATACGATTCCACCGAGCTCGCCAGTCAAATGTGCCAGTGATTATGGACAACTGTGCGCCGTCCCAACGATTGTCAACAGGTATTGGCACCCTCCGAGTCTCCGTCCTGCCGGTCTACAAAACGTAGGTAATGCAACAACTCATGGGTCACATGCTACCAGCGCGAAATCAGAATTGAAAAATAAAATAGATCCAAACATATATACCAGTCCGAGTCAAACTCACCTTTCCCACTTGTAAGAATCATTCGGATCGCGACTGTTGAACTTGACGTATTATAATGTGCCACGTCGTGAGTACTTGGGACCGTTGCAGAAGTAATTTCGAGACTAGTACTGTTCACCATACATACATGGGATGATGATCGTGGATAAGTAGATTTGGTGGCAGGAGGCTCCCGCCAATTACCGAGCGTCTAAACGCGGTCACGTGCGACGACCTTACGCGGCTGAACTTCTGAAGATCGTCGATGTCAATTCAGCAAGCTTTGTTTTGCATACGTCAGTCTCGCTCAAATGGACCGCAGCCCAAGAAAAGGGTCTGAGCAGAGACTACTCGCTGCAAGATCATGATCCAGGGGACCCAGCCCTCTTCGTCCAGTCAATCATGCCGCTCTCTGTATTTATTCACTCTCTTCTTCGCATCTGAGGAACTCCGGATCTCGCAGAAGACCAGCCACATCCTCTTCACGTCTTTATAGAGCTTCTCCTCCTTTCTCTTCGTGCAGCCGTGAACAAGTACCATAATGAACTCCCTCAGATTCTTGTCCATGGCGGCGGTGCAGGTGAAGCAGAGGAGAGCATGATGTGGTATGCTTTGGGGTATGAGAAAGTCGATACTACACGGTTCTACGTGATGCTAGAAGACAAATGGAGGACTGGTTGGCTCGAGCGCATGGAGCAGCGTGAGTAAGTGCTTATCATCTTGCTTCTGGGTGCATCATAATGACTTTGTGAAATTCAGATCCAGATCCTGCTCTATTTCCTCAAGCTCTCTTCCTCGACTATACACCCGATTACTGCCTGTCAAATTGCCACCCACCGATAATATTTTATTCATTTCGCCCGCCAAACCCAGCCGTTCGCGAAAAGAGAAGGAAAAGCCAAACTTGATCATCCCGAGTATCTCGAATCCTTAGACAAACTCTCAATGTGGCAGCTCGTATCACTCATGACTACATCTCGTACTGAAATTACGAGTCGCCACAAGGATGAACGTGACTGAATGCAAAAGTTTTGCGAGGATGTAGTTGAACCCCTGTGGGTGATAACTTCACGCATACAAGAACTCCAGCTTATCCAACACTTCATCCTTCCGTGTGAATCATTCAAGTTCGTCCTCCCTCCAGAAGATTCCAGAATATGGACTTCGCTACTCCACTCCTTCAACACTCCTATTACAGCTCTCCCATCTCTGCCCAGCCCAGTTCCACAAGTCAAGTTCTAAGTGAAGGCTGTGGACGCGCGGATCTCCTTCGAGGTGCAGTTCCCGGAGCGATACCCGGAGGATTCAGATGTCGACGTTCCCCCCATTTCTGTCAACGGAGAGGACATATCCAGAGATGAACATCGCCGATGGCGGGCCTTTGTTCAGGAGAAATTAGCTGAAAATGAGTGAGCACCATCACAGTGTCTTCCTGATTATGATGCGAGGAATTCTAAATTGTATGGAGTTATCCGATCTACCAGTTGCTATGTATGCACTTACTACTGGAGTTACATGAAGATGGACATACTATTGATACAGGACTGTTAGAGAGTATGGACATCCTAGACCAACACGACACCAATCGTCCCTCTGAGACAGCAGACTACCACGTGCTCGTGACATCTCATCATCTCGTGTCCCAAACAAAACACCTGTCATTACAGCGACAGTCCTCCCGGCTTTCGATATCTAGCTTTGTCAAAGTCGGCTACCCAGGCGTCATCTATGCGCAAGGCTTGCCAACGTCAAATCTATGCACTGTCTGTCCCTAAAAGTGCGATTCGTGAAACCCACGGATCTGGCCATCGATAAGCGTCACCAGGATTGGTCTAAGTTCCAGAAGGTCGGAGAAGTCGTGGAAGAAATGAGACGATGCGGGAGAAACAAATATATCACATATTGGAAACTGGTTTGAAATGAATCAGCATGCTCTGTACGGGCGAAGGCCATCTCCGTCACGGTCCCTCCTTGACTCGGCAGGCTACGCAAATTACTAAGGATATATGTAGGGCAAGGAGGCGAGGCAAGATACATCAGTAATCCTGGTCCCGGTACATTTAGTAAGTCATGACTTATCCTATTGTATTCGGGACCGTTTTTAACGTATCCTCAGTCATGGAACTATCAGTTGTGATAGTCGAGAGCTGAGCAGATCCGCGTGCTCCGGCCACTCATTGTTGGCGTTTGCGTGGCCATTAGTTTGGTCCTTAAAACCACGCCGTCAAACCATCTCCGTGGTTCAAGAAATTCTCCTTTGACGATGTTTTAGGGAATGTTATTTTCCCTGGAATACGACACAAACCCGCCATATAGCATACAGCGCGAGTTACGTGCAGAATCATGCTTGTGACTTTTTGATCACTGGCACGACAGTTTTGCTGCACAATATCAACCTTATTCCAGGATACCCGGCGTTCATATCAATGTACAGGATTTTTTCTTCTTGCAAACCCTTCTGTAAATTTCCGCGAAGACTGACGGACCCCATTGCATAGTTGGACTTGGCTTTGGATAAACTTGATTCGTGAGGGGCAGCGACATTAACGTCGTCGCTGATTACAAATGGTACCACGTATGAGCTAGTACATGTGAAGGCGTCAGATTGTCTCAAGAGTGTTTTAATCAACAAGGTGGGAGGACGCACGGAATTGATCATATGTCAATATGCATAAACACTACGCGCTGTTCCAAGGGCATGTCCTTGTCGCAAGCCAGTGACTGGACCGCTTTATGCAACGCTCGGGCAGCTCGCTTGGAATTCATCTTGTCATCCCCGCAAAAGTTTTTGTAGAATGCCTTGACTAAACGCTGCACAGTGCTATCGTTGACCTTCCATAATGTCCCAACGACGCTCTTAACCCCAGCGAATTGCAGGCCAGCCGCTAGGTGTATCACTTCGTCAGGAGTATCATAGTCACCGAGTGCGGCATCACAGGCAGAAAGAAATGCAAGTTCATGCCGAGACAGATCTGTTTATGTGATATTAAGGAGCGAAAGCGGCTGGTCTCGCATGAGAAAGGCAGAATTGAAGGGTCATCATATGTTTGTGTCCCATGACACGAAAAATGGAGTCAAGTATTATCTCGCAGCGCATGCAGTACCCTACATTGTCTAGTTTTTACAGTACATACACCAGTCGGATCAAGAAACTAATCGTTACAAAAAAATCACGGAAAGCTGGAAAACTCAGGTTAAATTTCGGACGGAAGAATTTTTAGAGACACACACGACGTAAGTCAGATAATGAATGTCTACCAATGCTCCTTCGCAAGTGCTTTGAATGCGAGAAAACGCTCAAAAGCAACGCGCCTATACTCCAGCGTCTCCATGCCTTCGCTGATTCGACGGTTGTGCCCTAAAGAGGTGACACACTTCACGACCGTTGTTTTAGCTTCGGGATACTGGCCAGTGGCAACCGCATTGCTGAGCGCTTTTGTGACAGGGACGAGATAGAAGATGGGTCGAGTGCCAACCATAGTGATGCATGGAATAGTCATGGTGTCAAGGGGGGGGGAGTGATCTGAGGAGCCGTTTCTCATTGTTGTATTGATACGCGGCAATCGCTTCTGCGATGACTTGTGGTTCCGGGTAAGACCTAAGAGACGTCACACGTCTAAAGAGACAAGGACTTCGTAAGTCCCCAGTCGAGTATGAACAGACTGATATAGTATGTACCTAAAGAGACAAGGACTTCGTAAGTCCTGTACTACGTCAGTAAGGAATGTGAGTGTCATATAGTGAGACTTACCCCAGTTGAGTATGAACAGACTGGGGAAGAAGGGGAAAACGAGACGAGCGAATGTACCTGGAGCGGAGTTACCGTATTTAGTAAGTACGTTGAAGGTAGTGAACGCGACACCAAACAAAAAGAAATATCTATACTACTATGTTGACGGATTGATTTCCAACACACCCCCTCAATCTGGCAACAGACCTATCTCGTCAATCATTTTCTGGAACGCGAGACGTGCGAGTGGTTTCGTGAGGCCGTCGGCGAGCATTTCGGCTGATGGGATATGTATGAGCTCGAGAGTACCATCTTCAACGTGTTCGCGGACGAAATGGTAATGAATGTCAATGTGTTTCGTGCGTGCGTGGAAACGCGCTTCCTTCGCAAGGCTAATGCATCCAGTGTTATCGACGAATATCTCTGTGCCAGGATCTTTGTCATACATTCCGATATCACGCAACAGATATCCCAGCCATATTGCCTGTTTGGATGCATGTGAGAGGGCCATGTACTCTCCCTCAGTTGATGAGGCTGCGACGGTGGTTTGTTTCTTGCTATTCCATGATATGACACGATCGCCAAGGGTGAAGATGTATCTTGAAATTGACCGGTGGTCGTCAATATCTCATGCCCAGTCTGAGTCACTGTATCTGGTGAGGACATCTGCATTCTCGCTGTTCTCCCCGAGCATGAGGCAGAAGCTGTGTGTGCCTGCAAGGTAACGTAAAACGCGCAGTGCAGCTCTCCAATGTGCCTGCCCTGGATTCGCACTGAATTGTCTGAGGTGGCTGCTGGCGAATGCGAGATCCGGGCGCGAGACCATTGCAATCCAAGTGATTGCTCCGATGAGTTCACGGTATGGTAGCTTCTTCATCTCCGCAGCTTCTTCATCTGTTTTGGGGCCATCTGCCCTCGATAGGACGGTATTTGGATCAACTGGCGTCTGTACGGGGTTGCATCCGTCCATTCTAAAACGTTTGAGGATCGTGTTGATGTACTGGGCTTGTGAGATAGCGACGGAGTGATTCTTGCGATCGTCGGTGAGTGTGAATCCCATGAGCCAATCTGGGTCTTCTTCCTTCATCTCAAACAGTTTGTGTAGCTCGGCACGAGTCTCCGCGAGTGTCTCAATACTGCTAGAGACAGTAATGGCATTGTCCACGTGCCATGCTATGATTGACGTGCCTGTCTTCATATGGCGGGTATACACTGCATGGTCAGAGGCACAGCGGACGAAGTTGCAGGAGATTAGTGCCCGGTGCATATGTTTGTTCCACAGGTGTGAGCCTTGTTTGATCCCATAGAGGCTAAGTAAGAGTTTCGCGACTCTGTCGGTGCCATTGCTGAAACCTTCGGGTTGTCGCATATAGATTTCGTGGTCAATCTTACTGTGGAGGAATGCTCCGGTGACGTTGTCTTGTCCTCAGTACCAGCCATGTGAAGCTGCAAAGTGCAGTATCATGCGAAGCGAGTCGAGTCAGACAGTTGGCGAGAATGTGTCACTATAGTCAACACCTGGGATCTGTGAATATCCTTGTGCGACAAGCCGTGCCTTGTACCGTGTGATTTCGCCATCTGGGCCAAGCTTGAGGGTATATGTCCATCGGCACCCTATGACTTTTCGATCCTTCGGCTTCTCGACTAGCTCCCATGTACCTCTTCTCTGCAACATCTTGATCTCCTCATGCATTGCCTTCCACCATTGGTCTGCCTCGGTGCAGGTAGAAGCTGCCTGAAAGTGTTCTGGGGTTCGTTGGCCATAGGCTGCGAGATAAGCGAGCTGGGCAACCTCGCTGACAGTGGTATTTTCAACCAGTGGTGTGTCGGTGTCGTTTTTACGTTGCCTTTGGGCTCGAGTTTCTTGTCTTGCCTTCTGATCATTCTTTTCCCTCTCAGACTTGGCTTTCTGGGTGTCCACTGCTTGTTTCTTCCACGATGGTCGTGTGACATGCTCTGAACGTCGAGGTTGAGCTGGTGGAGTAGCTGGTGTAGGCATTGGGGGTTCTTTGACAAGCATTGGGGGTTCTTTGGCGAGTGTTGGGGGTTCTTTGATGAGTGTTGGTGTCTCATTCGTGGTTGGATTGGCATCTCCATCCATCACCCCCTCGGTCCAAGTAGGGGAGTCAACAATGGTAGTTGATTTTGGCACCCCCTCACTCAGAGTGGAGATATTAGGAGTAGGGACAGGTTCATCATCGAGTTGGCTGAAGATTTTCTCATAGACTATGACATCACGAGACGAGATGAATTTGTGTTTAGAGGGAATCCAGACCTTGTAAGCTTTAGAGCCTCGTTCAAAACCACAGAGGATACCATCGATGGAATGAGCCTCGAGCTTCTTCCGAAACTCGGGAGAGACTCGGACATGACAGCGAGAGCCGAAAATGCGGAGGGTAGATACATCTGGTTTACGACCATGGAAAACTTCATTGGGGGTAATTTTTGAGAGTGCTTTGGTTGGGCTTCGGTTCTGGACATAGCTTGCATACTCATGTGCTTCGGGCCAGAAGCATTTTGACATGCTGGCATCTTCGAGCATTGCAAGAGCATGTTCGTGTGTGGTTCGGTTGAAGCGCTCTGCAACTCCGTTTTGCTGAGGTGTACGAGGGGCTGAAAATTCCTGTGTGATGCCCTTCTGCTCAAAATAACTTCCCAGTGTCAAGTTGATGAATTCACCCCCGCGGTCGGAGCGTACTATCTTGACATGATGTTCAGTGTATGTCTCGAGTCGTTTGATGAGTGCCTTGATGAAGGCTGGGGCTTGGTCCTTCAACTTCAAGTATTCCTTCCACCCTTTTCGACTATGGTCATCGACAACGGCGAGGGTGTAGAGATAGCCTTGAATGGATTTGTCGAATGGACCTTGGAGATCCATATGGATGCGATCAAGAGTTTTCTTTGCTCGAGTTGCAGTAGATGGGAAGGGGGCCTGGGGGTGTTTCCCTTTTGCACATCCGTTGCATGGTGGGAGGTCACCATTGCCTCGGAGGTCCATACCTGTCACAAGGTTATGTCGGGTGAGGTAGCGGAGGTTATCGAGGCTGATATGGGCAAAGCGAGCATGCCATAATTCGAGGTTGGGTGCTGAACGGGTAGAGAGGGCAATATCATGTCTCGCAGTGGGTGGTGCAATGACACTATGGATCTCGTATAGGTTGTTGGTTAGTCTTCCCTCCATCACAATCTCGCCATTGGGTTTCTTAATGGTGAGTCGCCCATTCCGTTTCGTGATCTCCATCCCTTTTCGGTCCATACGGCTTTCTGACATCAGGTTGTCACGGGCATTGGGACAGTATCGGACATTCATCAATTTGACAATATGGTCAGGACATCCCTTCACGGAGACATTAACTAGTACTGATCCATGTCCAAGGACTTGGAGTACAGGTCCGTCTTTCACGATCCCTTGGATATGCTCCTCTGATGGGGTGAAGGTAGCAAAGGCTGTTCGTTCGGTGCATATGTGAGTGGTTGATCCCCCATCGAGGATCCAGCCAAAACGGGAGCGAGAGGGAGGACTGGTGATATAGGATGAGTGTTCAGTGTCTGAGGAATCTTCGTCGGTGTCACTGACATCATCTTCGTCCGCAACGGCTTGGTTGGCTTTCTTGCCTGACTTCGACCTGTATTTCCCCTTGTGGGATTTGTCATCCTTCTCGTCCCCCTTATTACTATCTCTCTTTGACTTCTGCTTGTCACGATGGGGTCCCTGACCTTGCTTCGCACCACCTTTTGAGTAGCATTCTTTGGTCCAATGACCAGAGATATTGCAGTTCTCGCAGAAAGGTTGGCCTGGTATGGGTGTACGGCTGAGTTTGCTTCGGCCTTTGTTTCCATGCGAGGCTTGGTACGTGGTACTGGATGCGCCTGATTGGCTTGTACAGACACCGAACTCGTCCCTGATTCGCCGTTCAACTTCGACAGATTTGTAATGGTCAGGGAGAGCTGCAAACACATAGTTCCAAGCTGCCGGCATGGATATACGTAGGAAACACGCGAATAACTCATCATCGATGTCCCGTCGCATTAGGATGAGATCGCGGCGATAGCCCTTCATCTTTGCTATATGGGCATTGATGTCTTCCCCGTCATTATATTTGGTGGTGACAAGAGAAGCCATGACGAGTGTCCAATCTGTTGCTGTGGTACCCGAGTATAGCCGTTTTGCATCTGTCCAGATTTCGGAGGCGTGCTGAAGGTGTGCTAATTGGGCCATAACTTCCTCCGTCATGCATGAGGTGAGGACTGAGCAGATGAACATGTTCGCTTTGCTCCAACGGACAGGGTGGTGTTTTTCATTGAGTAAGCTGTGTAGTGGCTGCGTGAAGTCTGGGTCTACATAAACGTGTAGCCCAACGGTCTCAAGTGCACAGTATACAGTGCTTGTCCAGGTTGAGTAGTTGGTAGATGTGAGCTTGGGACGTAGACAAAGGAGATGGGTGAATTTTGATGGGTCAATGGACTTCTTCAGTGTGAAGTGAGTCTCATCTTCGTCAGATGTGTTTTCGTCAATGATGTTTGGACGGTGAGGTGTGGCAGATCGCGAACGCGAGGGCGAACGTGAGTTGTTCATAGTTGGGATTCCAAGGTTTGCAGGTGAATGTGTTGGTTGATCAAACGTAGCGGGTCCGAGCATTCCAACACGCCCTCGAGGGTCTTCAGTCATGGTTCAAAACACGTGTTATATTGATCTTGGTGATATGCAATGGGTATGGTATATTTCAGGAGTTCACAATGTGCGAGAGTGTCCGATGGGTCTCGGTAGCGATATCAGTGCCTGCATCAAGCAGGGCTCATAACCTAAGAGACGTCACACGTCTAAAGAGACAAGGACTTCGTAAGTCCCCAGTCGAGTATGAACAGACTGATATAGTATGTACCTAAAGAGACAAGGACTTCGTAAGTCCTGTACTACGTCAGTAAGGA